TTTTTTTTTTCAAACTAACAAAGTTCAGTATGAAGTGTTGCGAACAAATGCGAGTGATCGGTCGCAGGGTGCACATATGTTTGTTATTGTCTTGTCTTAGTTAAGCCGTGGACTACTATTGCTAATGACGCGAAGTTTGTCTGTACATAGCATAGTCCATTTCGTTGACACAACTGTATTTTAACATTTGTGTTATATACACAGTTTTTAACTGTTATTTAACACGGCTAGTTTGGCAACAAAAATAAAAGTGCAAGATAGTAAGTGTAACAGAGAATTTCAAACTTGGTGAACCGAGAGGTTTGGCACGATTAATAAAGGAGACAAAACGGTGTGTATTTCATCTTCTGGAAGAGTGGTATGCAGAATATTGTCCGTAAAACGGCATTTTGAAACAAATCACAAAGCCTTTTGTCAAAAAAGTGAACCAGAGCAAAAAGAATTAATTGCTGAGAACCCGTTTGGCAGATGGTTCCAATTCAGAATGCATTCTGCTAAAAGTAAGATCCCAATCCTAATATAAGTTATTTTTCATCTAATGTGCAACAACAAAAGTCACACTAATGTTACTTTAAATTAAGTTACAGGTATAAACTAAAACATATTTTCTACTATACAGTGCAAAATGTATTTTTTTGTAGTAAATAAAGATTTTTTAGTTGTTTAGTATTTAGTTTTATTATTTTCCCAATAATCACAAGTCAAAATTATTTGACGGCACGTCTATACCTCATTAAACATTTCTTTAGTAAAAATGGCACGTTGATCCATAAAGGTTCGCCCCCCCTGGCCTAGTGACCTAGGTCACGGACTCGTGGCTGGCGTGTCATGAGTTCGAACCCAGTGCCGCTTAAGACCTACCGAGTAGAAGGGGCCGATGCGTGTTAAATCTGTCAAGGCTTGTACGTCCTCCAGTAGGTGTGGTGTGAAAGTTAGGAGAGGAGGTGCTGTCTCAGATATCGTCTTCGTCATTTGACCATGGTTCAAAATTATGAGGTTCGTCGCCAATAGCCCTCTTGCAGTTTTATATACTCCCGATGCGGACTCGTGGCAAGTGTTATTTGTGCTGAGATGTGGATTCGAGTCTTGAAGTCACTTATGACCTGCTGTGTACAAAGGCTAATACATGCTAAATCGGTCGAGGATCTTAAGTCCCCACATTAAGTGATGTGGAAATTAGGATAGTGAGATTCCAGTTATGATGTCGTCCTCGTCGTTTGACCCTGGTTCAAAATTAAGCGGTCCGTTACCAATAGCCCTCGTGTTACTTCAAAGTACGATGTCAACAAATTATCAGAATATAATTTAATTAATGGAAAACTTTTTTGGTATCCTTCTTATAATTCATAAATAATTTTTTTTTTAGAAAAGATTTACGGAGAAACTTAATCTTGACCCACCTTTTTCACAATTCCTACTATTAGTTCACACTCTCCCTATATATATTTATTTATATATCTATCTGGTACAATGGTCTTAACTCAAACCACAAGTACCGTATATTTCAGCATATTACACTCACTGGCGTATAACGCGCACCCATACTTTCAAATTGCATTTTCTCAGGTTTAGGTATACGCATAACACTGACTTTTTTTATGAAGAAACCTGAAATGTACATGTGCAATGCACATATCTTCTTGAAGTCTAGAAATAGTGCGTGAGTGGATAGTAAAAATATGGAAGGAAATTTAATCTGACATAATTAAAAAGTCATTTATAAATATAATATATCTAACAATCTAGATGGAACGAAGAGGATTTTTCTATTTATGTGTGTGAATTAAAATAACACAATTATAGTGAACATGAAACAAAATTCGCCTGACAATATAAAGACGAATATGACAAACTGTTCATGTTATCCAATAATAAAAGCTCATAAGGTACATCATTTATTTTAAATAAACAGCATTGAGATGTATGAATAAATCTAATTTTTTTTATGCTCATCTTTTTTTTTATTTTTTTTATTGTTAAATCTATTATTTTTATATCCGCTGTATAAAGAGCACTCGTAAATTTTTATCTTATTTTTTGTGTTAAAAGCACGCATTATACGCCGGAATATACGGTAAATTAAGAGTGATATTGAATAGGAAAAGAGCAAAATTAAACAGTTTTAGGACGATATAAAATGAACAAAGAAGAAAAATATAGCTGTTTACATTAAAAGCTGTACCAAACAGAGACGAATTGATGTTGAAAAAGAACTAGCTGTTCGTACGAGATCTTCCAGCATAAAAATATCGATTATAACCAGCATTTCTCCATTTGCTTCCATTTATTTAGCTTAGTTGAAACCTTCCCATCTTTCCCGCTTACTGAGGTAGGGTTCTGTTTAAACAGCTCCCTATTTCCCTAACAGCAACCTCTCTCTTTTCTGTTTAAAAGCTCTTTTATATACTCTCCCTCATTCAGAGATTAATTCAAACCAATACAAAAAAATTAGTCCTGACTCGAAATAAATTAAAACTAAAATAGACATATAATGGCTATTATTGAGCAAAAAGTAACGGGTGATACTTTTCTTTTTTGTGCGTTATTTCTATTGATTCTATATATATTCTGATGTAAATAGTGATTTTCTAAAAATTCATATTAAATTTTAATTTGTAGATATCTTACTATTTACATACAAAGTTATTTATAGCTCCCTCCAAAGTTTCGAAATGCTATGCAGAAAAAAGAATATTTGAAAGAATTCAGAAGCAATTCAAGTTTTATTTACATACTTTACAAGTGTTCTATGAGAGAAACTTTGGTTACACGGCACACATGAATGCGAGAGTCCAGTTCCTGCCACACTCAACAAGGTACTATTGACACAGCACGTGCAGCAGAACTACTTTCATGTAGTTCTGCTGCATCATGCGGCATCCTTTCCGTGTAATCCGAAAACTTAGTCTTTTACATGAGACTTCGTTTTCATAACCCCTTTGCTGTGTGATGTAGCAGAACTGCATGAAAAGATAACACAAGCTGTCGATAACGTTGATAGTACTATTTGAATCTGTGTGTGGTAGAAACTGGACTACAGCATTGGTGTATATCGTGTAACCAAGGGGTTTAACACTTAGAAAACTCTAAAAGATGTAAATAAAGCTTGTGAAACGTTTTCGTATTATTTCAAATGTTCTTTTTTTGCTGTATTCGTCTCAGTTTTTTTAATATAGATGTTCAAAAACTAGGAGGAAATTATAAATAACCCTGTGCGTAATGGCTATTATAGGACAAGAAATTTCATGCAATACTTTCTTCTTTTTGGTGCGCTATTTCGATTGATTAAAATGTATATATTCTGATGTAAATAGGAATTTTCTAAAAAGCTGTTTTAAACTTTAAAATTCGTGAATATCTTAAATTCTATATATTTTTTAAAAATAAATTAGACTTTAAAAAAAACTAAAAAACACCCTTTTATAGTTAATCAAACTAAGTTGTAACTTAATCTTTTAGTCACCAAATCTGGAAATGGGATCTGAAATGAGTCGCCAGATGCGGGATGGGATCTGAAAATAGTAAATCGTCAATCCTGATGATCCTGATCAGGATAATGGAATAATATTATTAAATCACTGTATTGTCATCGGTCCTGGATAAATGAGCAAAATTTCGAATTAATTTGACCTTTTGAAGTGGGTAAAAATTGATTTCAAGGATTCTGTTACATACAAGTGAAGCTTATAAAAGGGTGTTAAAAAAAGGCCTTTTCAAAGTTTTTAATTCAATACTTGAAAATCATTATTTATATATGCATTTAAAATTCTCTACTAAAGAGAGATGAATAATCAAAACTCTCTCTCTCTCTCTTTCTCTCTCTCTGAAAAAAAATTGAAATTGCAAGATAACCAGACATAAT